CCCAGGGCCCCACTTTTTTGGGCAGATCCAGAAAGCAAAGACAGTGTTGTACCTCCCCCACCTCCTGCTCCCCAACACACACACAGCTGTGTTTGTTCAGCTGAGTAAATGATCATTCTAGGAAATGATTATAAATGATTAGGAAGAACTGTCCCCTGAAAGATGGGTAAAAGGAAATAATTTTCTAGATACAAAAAGGGAAGAGAAGGGGAAGGCAAGCAGCTGAGAGTATAACCAAAGGAAAGTGTATCATCACATAGATATGACCCCAAAACCCCCATGGAGGAAGGGCTGCATTACATTTTTGCCTTCCATGGCCTATAGACAATGGGAGGTTCTTTTCTTGTAACCATGGGGCTGCACACACTAGTGCTTCTGTAGACTGAGCTCACCTCATGCTCCTTGCATTTCTTCCTCTCTTTCACTAGCCCCATGTTACCACCTTCTATTTTAGGATTTTCTTGCAGCTTCTTCCGATGCCAGAAGCTTGGTGTGCACCCCCCATTTTCCCTTTGTTCATGTCAGGGCCTCTGTTTGTCCCTCCCTTCCCATCCTCATTCTGTGCTTTTACAAGGGGCTGTGTATACACCCCATTATACCTCCCCTTACACTAGAGGCCCAGTCTCCCTCCCTATCAGGAATTTGTGTATGCTTCCATCTCCCAGTCCCCTTTTCACCAGGGGTTCTGTGGGTTCAAAACGTTGTTAAGGTGAATGATCAGCCATTTATTTTAGATAGCTGAGGCAAGATGCGAGAGCAAGCTCCCATGCAAGACACTGACAGCATGGTTGTCCAATGGTACACAAGAAGTTAGTGTCATAAACTGGAATGGCAACAGAAACTGGCTTGAAAAGGAAAAACTTGATAGCGTCCTCCCTAGAACAGAAAATCTGATCTGCAATTTGTTTCCACTGACTGAAGGAGAGAGGGTTTAAAATCAAGGCAAGACAAAGGCAAAAATATTACTTTGCTTGGACATTTCCACATGTAAACATCAGTATCATAAACTCAATGACAAATTAAATCTTCAAGAAAAATAAAAAACCTTGCAATAAGTGACAACTCCATCTCAATATAATATAAAACATTCTTATATTAATGATTCTAACACTTTCAAGCAGTAGCACTAAACTTTCTGGGCCACTGAAAGGATACTTTCTCTTTTGTGGAGAGTTTATAATCCCATCATGTTACCTAACCATCTGAAAATTGTACATGTTGGGAAATCAAATGAAGGGAAAAGAAAGCCTGAAAACAATTACAGAATAAGTGCTGAGGCATGCTGCTCCCCAGCCAGCTTCTCTATGGCTGGCTGAGGCACAGTTTGCCTTGAGATGAGGGCTCCATGTGCCTCAGTATGGGGCTCTGCAGTGGAGCCCTTGCAGTGAGGCATGCAGACAAAGGAGCAGCCAGCCCAGAGCTGCTCCCTTGTCTTGAGGCACGCTGCACCCCAGCCAGCCAGGGAGTGGCTGGCTGAGGATGCAGAATGCCTCAGTGTGGGGACTCTGCAGCACAGAGACATGGAAGCAGACAACCCTGGGCTTTCTGCCTGCTCTCATCTCCACATGCTGCTCCCTGGTTGGCTGGGGCACAGGGGTCTTAGTGCAGGGGCTCTGTAGCGCAGAGACAGGGGAGCAGGCAGCCCTGAGCTGCCTGCTCCTCCATCTCTACATTTGTCCTGGCACACAGCAGTTTGGTGTGCTTTGCACCACTTCTTTTGGCAGGGTGTTGTTTTTTTTACCGGGAAATCCGAGTAGCAAATTTTGCCCCAATACTGCAAATTAGCAGTGAGGGGCATGGTTTAACATGCAATATATGTGGTTTGTGGTGCTGCAAAGAGGTTTGCAGTGCCACAAAGTACGCATACCTGCAGATCTGGATCTAGTCTTCATGGCTGCAAATTCTGTAATGGTTTGTGTCACATCTTGCCTACTAAGGCTCTCTGACGGCAGTTTCTCTGACCCTTAAGTCCTCCACCTACTGCACGTGGCCCTGTGCATTTGCAGCACTCTGTAGTTGGGATACAAAGCATGGCCATTTGCCAGGGACTCTGGGTAGGTTTGTGGTAGGAATTGAGTAATTTAGAAACCCACTCTATGTCATCTCCTTGAGCTTTCTTCAGCCAAGACCTGAACTCAAACCAGAGCTTTCATGCAGAGCCTGACATGTTTAGGAACATTTCCTTCATTTTCTAGCTGAGGTGAGAAGTGAAAGAGCATGTGATTCTTGGGAGAGGAAACAAAGGTGCCAGAAATCACAGCCTGTTCTTGGGAGGTCTGTAGTCTGGCACTGCAGAAGTCAAGGCACAGGTCCTACCCTTTGATATATTAATCCAAGGTAGCATAGAGGAGGAATTACACAAGGCTGCTCATGGACCATGGAGCCATAATTCATCTGGTATGAGGTGCAGCTCCCACAGCTGGCATTGGCTATTGCTGTTTACATTCACTCCCACACTCAAGTTCTCTTACCCTTAGACAACTGTCAAGCACAAACAAGGTCTTTGCAATGAGAATGAGACAAGTAAACTGCTTAGACCAGCTCCGAGCAGACAGGAATAAGAAGCCACTGGGAGGCAGAGCTGAAAAAATAATCTCCTTATGCCTAGGACTGCCATGGGTTTTAGATTGTGGTCTACTGTCACCTGCTCAGGCCTGATGTGACTATCCGAGACTGCAAGATGCAGCTGGAAGCAGAGTTGACAGTGATGAGACACTGACAGCCCTTGTCCCCCTGCTTTATCTGTATCAGGTTAGGGTGCTTTTGGTGTTTTTGACAGGGTTAATACTGTAAATTTAGGAATAGGTTAGACAAGAACTTATATAGGATAGTTTTGATAGGGGTAATCCTGTTTTGGAAAGGGAGTTAGATTAGATGACCTCTGGAAGTCCCTTTCAGACCTATGACTTCATGCCTCTAAGGCAATAGCTTTCAATCTGTAGTCCCTGGACCCCTTAGGGTCCACACAGACTATTTCTAAGAGTTCTGCAAAAGATGACTATGATCAGTCAAAAAGGATATGAATACACTTACTTACAATTCAAAGGGGGACACACCTCCATTCAGAATTTCCAAAGGGTCTGCACCTCCATTTGAAATTTTTTAGGTGCCCACAGATTAAAGGTTGAAAACCACTGCTCTTTTATGACTTTTGTAGTTAGTGTGTGAACAGGCTGCAAGATGGGGTGGGGAAAAATATAAAAAGATGAACACCTGCTGCTGAGACAAGGGATAGGCAAGGGTGGTAGGAGGGGGAGATGCTGGGCTGAGGGCAGATGGAGAGAATTAGAGCAACAATAGTCATGCCCACATTAGGGGTTTTTGGCATTCCAAAGTCAGTACAGGGTGTGATTATTTTCCCTATGATTGCATTGGCAATCATTTAGCTGTACATCCTTCCTGAGAATGGGGGAAGAGGACAGGTGAGGGGAGGCAAAGAGAAATGTGCCACGCTCACTGAACACACGATGGCTCCAAGTCAGTGATTCTCAGACTGTGGGTGGCAACCCCAAATGGAGTCACAACATTAGCAGATAGGGTCATGAGGGTGGGGAGCTGTGGGTTGGGAATGAGGGGCCATACTGAGGAAATAGGGTCATGCTGAGGAAATGGGGTCATGAGGAGGAATAGTTTGGGAAGCACTGCTTTAAGCACAGAAAGCCACTAAGTGGAGTTCAGTAGGGTTGGAGGGGAGGGTTGAAAAACGCTTTTTATTACAAAACAATCTTAAACCCTACCTGATTCTTCATGAATGATCCTTAAGTGGCATTAGAGAACCCATCTTATTGGGGAAAATATCTGTGGAAGCAATAATTCTCAAAAGGAATTTGCAAAACACCTTTCACAGACAAGCCTATGAACTTCACTTCATCAATCTACTTAATACAAAAAATCATGGTCTAAATATAGACATCGGATTTATGACGCACTATAACCTGCCTAACA